CAAGATTTAAGCTCAATATACAAAAATCAATTGTACTTCCATGCAGTATAAATTAAGAAAAAATTTCATTTACAATAGTATTAAAAAACCACACAAAGCCATTTATATGAAATGCCAAGAATAAAAAAAATCCACATACATGGGAAGTAGATCAGTGGTTGCCATGAGGGAGTGACTGCTAATGGTACAGGGTTTCTTTTTTTCTTTTTTTTTCTTTTTGTTTTTTTTTGAGACAGAGTCTCACTCTGTCACCCAGGCTGGAGTACAGAGGTGTGATCTCAGCTCACTGCAACCTCCTTTTCCCAGGTTCAGGTGATTCTCCTGCCTCAGCCTCCCAAGGGGTACAGAGTTTCTTTTTGAGGTAAAGAAAATACTCTAGAATCAGATATTTGTGATGGTTTTGCAACCTTGTGAATATATTAATACTAAAAATCAACTAATTGTACACTAAAGGTAGATTTTATACTATACGAATTATACTTCAATTTTATAAAGAAGACTATACTTAAGGAATAAATTTAACAAAATTATTATGTACAATTTCCTAGCTCTATCTGCTGAAAGAACCTGAGGGCAGCAGCATCCCAGTCACGGTAAGCACACCAGCACCCAAATCTTGGTTTCTGAATACTCTTTTCCATTAAAAGGAACCAGCACTCCTTGGAGAAATACCTGATTCTGGGACTGGGGCTGGGAAAGAAAGTACAAGATTATCTGCACTAGCTTATAAATAACAAAGTATAGAATGAGAGGAGTAAAGGGGACATATCAAAAGGACACAAGAGCCATATTGAAGGGGTTAGTCAACTTGTGTTGGCCAGGACAACTGCAGAATAATTTGAGCATCAAATAAATAGTTAATTATAATTCATTCAATAATATGTATGAACTCATACATATTGAGATAAATGAATAAGTTAATAACTGGGACAGAAGAGAAAGCTCTATATTACCAGAGAATGCCAATAAGTAGTAATAACCTACCAATTAATAAGTAGAAAATACTTTTTCATTAACTTTATGCTGGAGGAACCAGGCATACATAATTTATACCAAGTACTGAAAATTAACACCACCAGCAATGGGACAAATCAACATACTATGCCTCCTGACATGATGCACTGAGAAGAACAAAGAATTATTCCTGTTGTGTTCCTGCCAAAGTTGCATCTACTCATGAGGAAACATCAGACAGACTCAAATTGAGACATTCCAAAAAATAACTGGCCTGTTATCTTCAAATGTGTCGAGATAGCAGAGAGTAAGCAAAGATTGAGGAACAGTACCAGATTGAAGAACACTAAAGAGATATGACAACTAAACACACAAATAGTCCTGGATAGGATCCTAGATTCACAACACATTTAAATGGTACAATCAAGAAAATTTGAAGAAGGTATGTGAACTCAAGGTATTAGTATTTTGTCAATGTTAGTTTCCTAATATTGGTGGTTATATTGTGGTTTTGTAGACGGTCTCTAAGAATCTTATGGGTGTACCTTATATTTCAACCAGGAAAAAGAAATGCTTCTAAGAATCTTAGGGCTGGCTGGGCATGGTGGCTCACACCCGTAGTCCCAGCACTTTGGGAGGCCAAGGTAGGGGGATCACTTGAGGCCAGGAGTTCGACACCAGCCTGGGCAACACGGTGAAACCCTGTCTCTACAAAAAAATACAAAAACGAGCTGGGCATGGTGGCATGTGCCTGTAGTCCCGGCTACTCAGGAGGCTGAGGCAGGAGGATCACTTGAGTCCGGGAGTTCAAGGCTATAGTGAGTCGTGATCATGCCACTGCAATCCAATCTGGCAACAGAGCAAGACCCTATCTCTCATAAAATAAAAAGACTTTTAAGACTGTTGTACCACCACCCTGAGTCTCAGCCCAAGTGAGAGAAGGGCACTTCTTGGGAATAAATATAGATATGTTTTTTGTCTAATGGAAAGAACTCCAGTAAAATTTATAGGAAATCCTCAAAGGTTTTAAGATAATTTTATCAATAGAAGTACTGCCCATTTGGGCTAAAGAGACAGAGACAATACAAAACAGATACCTTTGGGTTCCTTTATCAGTTTCCTAATGTCGCTGAAACAAATGACCACAAACACAGTGGCTTAAAACAACACATATATTGTCTTGCAGTCCTGGAGTTCAGAAGGCTGAAATGGGTTTTACTGGACTAAAATCAACGTGTCAGCGGGTCTCTGTTCCTTTTGGAGGCACTAGAGGAGAACCTGTTTCCTTGCCTTTCCAGCTTCTAGAAGCTGTTCACAATCCTTGACTGGTGGCCTCCTTCTTCCATCTTTAAAGTCAGCAATATGGTGTTAAATATCTTTAAATCTTTCTGACTTTGCTTCCATTGTCACATTTCTTTCTATGACTTTTAAGGACCCTCATGATTGCATCGGGACTACCAAGATAAACCAGCATAATCCTCCAATGTCAAGATCCTTAACCTAATCACATCTGTAAAGTCTCTTGTGCCATGTAAGGTAACAGTCATGGGTTTTGGGAATCAACACATGCACATCTTTGGAGGGAGGGCATGATTCTGCCTACCACAGTCCCTAATCTTCTCTGGTCAGAACAGCTTCTATGGGAAGGCTACTCAGTTGGAAAGAGTTTGTGCAAGGTAGGAGCCTTGAAGCTTAATCTTCAAAACCTTCTGGGTAAATCTGCCTCTGGTAGTAATTAAGAATATGGAATCAGGATCCACATGACCTGGGTTCAAGTCCCTTCTCTACCACTTACTATGTATGTTGATTGAGTTGATGTTACAGATTGGGTTCTCTAGAAACAGAGGCTCAGATGGAGTTTGAGGTGCAAGATGTTTATTAGAGATCAACATCTATGAAAGGGAAAGGAAGCAAGAAAGGGGAGAGGAAGAAGTCAAAGAGGCTTGATGAAGCCTTAATCAAGGTGGCAGGCGTGCTGGAGCTAGTATTGCCTGTAAGAGTTTTCTCACGATGGACCAAAATGGCTAGGCCTTGATTCCCTCACCTTGCTCCGTTGCTGGATTAGGGTTGCCCCAGGAAGGAAATTTCCCTAGGCAAGGCTGCTCTCTGCTATAGGATAGACCCTAAAGCAGCTAACTGCTGGAGACTCTTCTGATCGCATTCCCTGCAGCTGTGCAACAATTGTTTGAAGGGGGATCTGCGTGGTACATCTCCATGTCTACACAAGCAGTGGTGTGCTGGAGCTGGCTCACCCCAGCTCGCAAGAATTGATTGTTAGCATCTTTATCCAACCGCAGTCAGTGATGACATATTCTCATGTTGAAATCAGCCGCTATGGGAGAATTGACACCACAGAAATTGGCAAATGCCACAAATCAGAATTTTAATTTTTTTCTTAGACAGCTAGTTTACAGCACACCTCAAATGTGGTCCACAAGTGATTAACATTGAGTAGGTTATTGATTGTCCCTACAACTCAGTCTTCTCATTGGTAAAGTGGGGCTAATAATACTATAAAAATACTACTACTACCTAGGCTGTAAGGTCAGCATGAGAATTAAATGAGTTAATACATATAAAATACTCTGGACAGCAATTAAATGAGTTAATATATGTAAAATACTCTGGATGGCCCCTGCCACACAGGAAACATTCAGTAAGTATTAACTGCTGTGTTTACTATTGCCATTGTTATTACAATTATTACCACCTTAAAAACTTCCACTGGATTTTCATAGAAGAAAAGCACCTAAATTTCTTAGTATGGCATGCAAAGGCCCTTCGCAATCTGATAGTTTCAAGCACAAGGAACTTCTCGTCATTTCTGGAACTCAAACTGTTTTCCACCTCCAAACCTTGTCACGCACAGGTACCTTCTGCCAGGAAAGCCCACTCCTCCCTTGCCTGTCAACTTCCAATTTTTTTCATCCTTTTGAACCAGCACACATTATCTCCTCTCTGAAGCCCTCTCCACCCGCTAGATGAGGGTTCCTTCTTCAGTGTTGCCATTGCACATTGCACAACCCTCAGTTACTCTGACAACACTTTACTGTGATTACTTGTTTACATATCTGTCTCCTCCTTAGTCCAGGATTGGATCTGCTATTTCTCTGTGTAGTCAGCACATTAACATAGGTGCTAATAAATATTTGTTGAATGAATGAACATTGCCTGGGAAATGATTAAGAGGGGGGAAATAGAGTAAGTAGCCTAGTAGGCTATAATAATAGCAATATTTTTGTTTGCATAAGTGACTCTAGGTATATTGTGTAAAGCAGTGACATCAGGACCCCAGAGTTTCAGGTTCTGTAAGTCCTAGATTTGTCATACACTCACATCCTGACAGAGTCCTACTCATCCTTCAGATGGCTCAGATGTCACGCCCTCTATGAGGGTTTTCCTGCCTGCTGCCCTCTTGCCGCTCTTTGCCTGCGCAGCTATTCACACACGCAAAATTGGCTCTTCTGTGGGGATCCAGTGGTGTTTGTGTATTCCCACTCCATGGTACAGAGGGGCGGATATTTTAGGGATGTTGTCAGCATGGTGTTAACAATATTTGGGGATGGTCACAGCCTTAGACCTGTGAATTCATCGCTCACCTCGCCCCTGCCTCAATTTCTCCTAGTGTGATGGGCACAGTGGAAACACCTTCACAGGGTCGCGATTTAGTGGAGGGCGGCTGACACTGATGTTGCAGGAAGCCCCCACGCATTCCGAGGAGCTGAGGGCTAGAGAGCGAGGTGAGGCGCGTCGAAACAAGGAAGGAGGCAGGGGGCGTGGGGCGAGACTGGGCGGCGGAGGCGACTGACCGGGGC